TTGTCCCTGGAGCCTGGACGAGTGAATGAAGATTGAATGAATGAATGATGCCATCATGTCTCCCAGGAGACCTGTCAATCAGTGGCTTAGTCTAAAAGAGTTAGTATTTGAGTTTCCACAGTTGTATTATTAGATTTTAGCCTCTGTATCGCTGGTCACTGTGATGCGGTGAAAAAGGAAGACTGAAACACTTTATTAGTTTACATCTTAGGAATTACGGCATTTAAAACCCTTTGGTTGAAGATGTACGTGCCAAGAGGATTACATATATTGATACTTAATTTCTTTCAAAGTCAGATTACAGTTAAACTCTCAAATTCTACTTGTAATTATTTACATCTACTGTAATTATGGTCAGAGTACAGGCTGTTGGGTAAGTCTTCTCCATCCGTTTGCCCTTAAATCATGTTTTATTTATTATGTATAACTCTAGGAATTGGTCATCACAACTAGGTTTAGCAGGCCTAAAACATATCAACAACTTGGATTAGTAAAAATAAGGCAGGGAACAGAACTTTCTTGGATCAGATTGCCCAGTATTCTTCCAAGTAAGTACAACTTTCCAAAAATGGATACTCTGCTCCCAGTGAGGAACCATTGACTTTCTCCCCCAAGCTGGTGGTGTCCAGGAATTAGAGCTTTGCAGTGACTTTTCTGCTTCAGTCTGGGGTTGTTAAGAGATATGATCATGTTTATTTGTTGTAGCTTATTGGTTTCTAACAAAATCCCACTGCTCACGGCACCACCAGCAGCCGTGGAATCGGGGAAGCTCTGTCATCATTCTTCTTGCTTTTCAGAATGTTCTCAATTAGATCACAAAGGCAATCAGGTGGTTCCCAATCTTACTTCTAATGGTTGTCCCTGTGGCTCGAAGATGAATTTGTAGGGCTTGAAAGAGACTCAACTGATTCCAGTCGTGTGGTTTTATTTGTCTTTGTTTCATGTGTTCTGCTCCCTGGCGTTAGTGTGAGAGGCTGTATCGTGGCATTCACAGCATTTTGCTGTAACTGTCCTTTGTCTCTACTTGAAGGTAAGCTTTGTGAGGGTGGGGGTGTCTTTCTTGTTCACTGTGAGTCCTCCCCTCCTAGCTGGGTGTCCAGAACATAGTAGGGGTTCACACAGCCACTGATGAATAAAGGTTAAATGACGTTGTTGACCAGAAGGGAAATGACAGATGAAGGCTTGGGATTCCAGCAAGAAAAGAACAACAGACTGGGTAAGAGTAGGTCTAAATTTTAAAAATTCTATCTGTTTCCTTGGGAGCTTCTTAAATCATTTTTGATGGTGGAAGCAAAAATTATATTTGTTGTGCAATGTTCAGTGTATGTAGAGGAAATACTTAAGACAACTATATTTTAAAAGTGGGAGGAAAGGGGAGGGTATAGCTCAGGGGTAGAGCACGTGCTCAGCATGCACGAGGTCCTGGGTTCAATCCCCAGTCCCTCCATTAAAATAAATAAACAAACAAACCAACAAACAAGCAAACAAATAAACCTAATTACCTCCCTCCCCAACTGCCCCCCACCCCGCAAAAAAGTGGGAGGGTCAAGGGATCTAAATGGAAGTAAGGTTTCTACACTTCGAAGTAGTAAGACATCAATACCAGTAGACTAGGTTAGTGTGTATATATATGGTAACACCTAGAGCAAACACTGAGGAAATTACGTGAAGCAACATACTCAGAAACACTATAGATAAATCACATTGAAATTTTAAAAAAATGTTCAAGTTACTCACCCAAGACCAAGAAAGGAGGAACAGAGGCTGAAACAAAGGGAACAAACAAAAACAAACAAATGGCCAACTGAAGCCCTAACGTATTAATAATTGCTTTAAATTAAAGACAGAGATTTGCAGAGTGGATAAAAACACAACCCAGTTATGTGCTATCTATATGCAACTCATTTCAAACGTAATGACATGGGCAGATGGAAAGTTGAAAGTTGGGAAAAGATATCAAGGCACCATTAATCAAAGAAAAGCAGGAGTGGCTGTATTAATATCAGATAAAGTAGACTTCAAAGCAAAGGCGATTACTAGGGACCCTACATGATGATTAAGAAAAAAAAAGACCAAAATGAATGAAGAAAGTAAACGAGAAAACCAGCATTTAAGTTGTTACCTGATTATGCTCTTTTCCCAGGCGCCAAAATAAGAAATTGCCAACATTTCCCAATAAATGGAGAGAGTGAGGCAGTCTTTTGAGAGACACTCAGCTACTTATCTGCCACAGCCTCCTGGCATCCAAGCAGTCTCCCTGTTTACAGGACTGTCTGACCAGCTGTAGAGATTTTTTCCATCATGTCCTCAAATGTCACCTTCTCTCTTTGATGGTGATTATCGCCTGAGTGTGTTCTGTTGGTGAGACCTACAAGAGGACTCAAGAGCTCCTTGTTCTGGGGCTAGTCGCTTGGTGAGCTTGGCCACTGTTGAGCAGAACATAGAGAACAAAGCTACACTGGGAAAAACAGAGCACCAGGGGGCCTTTGTGCTTCCCCAGTAAATACCCCCTCAAGGATGCAGACACGGCCACGTGGGAGAGACCCAGTGTCCTCCCCCAGCACGTGGGGTCAGGCCCTGCTCCTTTGGTGGGATGAAGCTCCCCATGCTCACGTCCTCGGCCTGGGTCTCCTGCCCCTCCCCAAACAGGTGTCCACGGGGGCCCTGGATACCTGATGGAACTCACAACCTGAAATGCCCAGCACCCAGCCTTGCTGGCCCTTAAGACACAAACTCAGAAGAATGACATTCCTGCCCATACATTCATTCATTCATCCTACATGCTGGAGATAACAACAGTGAACTAAACAAACCCAGATCCCTGCCCTTGTAGAGTTTACATTCCAAGGAAGAACACAGTTTAACAAGTAATTATAATTGTTCCCGGGATGGGGCAAAGGCAGCAATAAAATAAAAAAGGAAAGCATGTGGAAGATGAGACAGTAAGAAGTGCTTAGGTGGAAAATAAAACAGGAAAGGATGATAAACCACGTAGGGGAGAGGGAGGTTTGCACAATTCAAAGTAAAGTGGTTAACGGGGAGGGCATAGCTCAGTGTAGAGTGTGTTCTTAGCATTCATGAAGTCCTGGATTCAATCCCCAGTACCTCCATTAAGATAGGTAGGTAGGTAGATAGATAGATAGATAGATAGATAGATAGATAGATAGATAGATAGATGATAGATAGATAGATAGATAGGCAGGCAGGCAGGCAGGCAGGCAGGCAGGCAGGCAGACAGACAGACAGATAGATAGATAGGCAGGCAGGCAGGCAGACAGGTAGATAAGGTGGCCAAGGAAGACTTCACTGGAAGTATAACTATTTGAGCAAAGACCTATAGGAAGTTGAGAAGCAAATTGTGTGGTTAACTGGGTTTGTCACAAGAGGGGCAAAGTCCCTGTGGCTGGGTCATGCCTGGTGAACTCCAGGAATGTCAAGGAGCTACTGCAGGCGAAGAAGTTCATGTCTGTGTATCTGGGAGGGCGAGGAGTGGTGCTGGAGGCGGTGGTTGGAGAGGAGAGAACATTCAGGTGGGACCTACATGGCTCGTGAACACTGACAGGTCATTGGCCTTTAGTCTCAGTGAAACATGGCACCATCAGGACAGAAGGATATACATTTCAACGTATCACGACGTGGCTGTTGTGTTAAGAACTGACTGTAGAGGGACAAGGGCAGAAGCCAGGACCGGCGCGGGGACTCCCCTGCAATGCTGCCAGCGAGAAACCATGCTGGTTCGGAGCAGGGTCGTTGTGCCAGGGGTGGGATGAGAGAAGTGGTTGGATTCTGGATGCAACATGAAGATTTAGCCAACAGGATGCCCTGCGGTGTTGGATGTGTGGGCTGAAGGAACAGGAGGAGTCAGGGATGACTCCAAGTTTTTTTGGAATTGGCCGCAAGGTAGATAAAGTTGCCGTATCGGAGGTGGGAAATGAATACAC